TGTCCACTGATGTAGTCACTCCATCCTAGAAGGCCACGAGGTTAGTCAGGCAGGACTTGCCCTTGGTGAAGCCATGCTGGCTGTGTCAAATCACCTCCATGTCCTCCATGTGCCTTAGCATAGCTTCCAGGAGGATCTGTTCCATGATCTTCCCAGGCACAGAGGTGAGACTGACTGGCCTGTAGTTCCTCAGGTCTTCCTTTTTTCCCTTTTTAAAAATGGGGGTTATGTTTCCCCTTTTCCAGTCAGCGGGAACTTCACTGGACTGCCGCGACTTCTCAAATACAATGGATAGTGGCTTAGCAACTTCATCCGCCAGTTCCTTCAGGACCCGTGGATGGATCTCATCGGGTCCCATGGACTTGTGCACCTTCAGGTGCCTTAGATGGTCTCAAACCTGATGTTCTTCCACAGTGTTTTAATAAAAGTCATTCAGGCTGTTTTAACATTGTCCCTTGGCTGCACACTACATACTTCAGCTCATGTGGATGCTATGGGGAGTTACATGAGTCGTATCAAGTACAGGGGAGGCCCCATTAAATCCAGTTACTGTCAATTGTGTGAGACCTGATGTTCTTCCACAGTGTTTTAATAAAAGTCATTCAGGCTGTTTTAACATTGTCCCTTGGCTGCACACTACATACTTCAGCTCATGTGGATGCTATGGGGAGTTACATGAGTCGTATCAAGTACAGGGGAGGCCCCATTAAATCCAGTTACTGTCAATTGTGTGAGAGCTTTAAATGGCTACACTAAAACTCATTATTAAAGAAAGGAACTATCAACTTAATTTAATGCATGGTGCCCAACCTTGATTCTGCTCCCAGCCCAGAGACTTGCTGTGCGCAGGGGTGATATAAAAATTAGACCTGCAGTCTTCCGGGCTTGTATTTAGCTGTTGCGGGGTCCTGGCTGCAGCCTGACTGGCTAACGGGCTGCGGGAGGCTGCCCTGCACCCCTGCCAAGGCAGGGACCAAGCCTGAGCCAGGAGGGTACAGTCCGTGTTGCCACTTGCCTTAGTCCAGACAAAGCTTTTGCTAGCACAGGTGGGGCTGCTGAGCCAGGCTTCAGGCAAGCAGGAGCACTCTGTGGGCATGGCTGCTCGTCCCGAGCATCCTTGCCCCCTCTGCTGCTGTCGGAGAGCAAAAAGGAGAGGAACCAGGGGCCAACCTCAGGCTGTCCCACGCAAAACGTGGCATGGTGTCTGCTAGGATCTTCCTGGGTCAAAGGGAGGCAGCAAGAAAGGCCCAGCCTTGCACGGGTTTCTTGGCAGACCTGAGTTCAAGAGGACTTCTCCCAAGTGAAACCGCCTGTTTCCCTCACTCCGTGGCTTATGGGCCCTCTGGCTCCCCAAGACTCCAGGAATGAGAACGCTCCTTCCCCAAAGACCAGCTCAGGGGGATGCTAAGGGGGCGTTGCTGTCACAGGGCTTGGCTGGCATGGATCGCCCCATTACTGCTGGTTTGTTTCTTCATGGACATCGTGGCAAGCTGTTGTTGGCCTACGTAATCAAAAGGCTGAAGTTGTAAATGATATTACAGGCTGTAATGAGGAAATTGATCCTTGTAACAAACCATCCAACTTTTATTCACATTTATTACTATTTCTGCTATTGTCATGGAGTAAAGATCCTTTTTAAAAAAAAGAACATGCCACCAGCAGAATTTGATAGTGTCCTCAGGAAATTTAGGGTTGTGTTTTTCTCACATTAGCTGCACAGGCAAATCTGCAGTAAAACCGACTTCGCTGCAGAAGCCCTCTTTTCCCAACACCAAGCTGTCAATCAGCCTGTAATTTCTCGGTATCAGACTATGCTGAAGAGCTGGTCGAGTTATTCTCCTTACAATGTGTGCCCCTAAAACCTCAAATGTGAGAAAATAATTTTGGATGGAAGGAAGAAGATTTCATACTTCTTTTTTTAGGGGGAAAAAATATTTCTCCTGCAATGAGATACAACTTCTGAGGAGGGTGGAAGTGGCAGCAGAGGAGTCCAAAGTCCTCCCTTTAGCCACAAGACAGCCCTACTTCCTCCACCCCCTCCGTTTTTGGGGTACCAGGGTGGGTCAGTGTTTGTCTCCTGTTCCTGCCCCCCTGCTGAGGCTGCCAGTGGTGGTGTAGGGACAGCAAGGGGCTGGTTGTTGATGTGGAAACCAGTCCGTAACAACAACTCGTTTCACCAAGGGGCACGGGCAGCCATCTGACGTTGGCAATGCTGAGTGACTGCTGACCTTGTTTTTAGCGTCAGCTGATATCACCTGGAGCCCTGCCAGTTTGCACCAGTTGAAAGTCTGTCTCTTAATGGTGGCGATTATCCTGATTTTTACAGTGGCGCTGAGAAAGTTGCAGCTGCTGCGCTTCACATCCCTGACTTTAATTTGGGGTGCCTGGGTCTTCTGGTATTATCTTTAGAGGAGCATGTGAGAAGAACCTCTCGCCTTGTTCTGCATCAATCGCTTTTTTCCCTTTTTATTTTGTATGAAGAGATATTGCTCAAGAACACCATGGAATGAAAGCCATAAAGCTATAAATTACACCTCTGCTAGGTCCGCAATATGTTACCAATTACATCTGCTTTATTATTCGCGTCCAGGGGGAAAACATACATCAAACCAACCCCACTCTACAGGCAGGTCAGTACTGTGTTAGAAGGAACACTGTGACTCTTCTTAATCAGTGGAAAAACAAACACAGTTTCGGCTCACTCGCATACGATATTTGTGTCCAGGATGACAAGTTGAGTAATATTGCTGCGGTTCTCTGAGCTTGCCGCGTGCCACATGCTATGGCATTCATGGCAGCATCATCGCGCCGTGGAAAGGAGAGAGGAGAGAGAGCACTTAGAGGGGCAGGGAGCTGGGCGGGGCCCAAGGACCCAGTCGGAGGGACCTTGGAAATTGCTGCCAAGGAGGTTGGTGGAGGGGAGTTGCAGCAAACGGCACCAGCGATCACATTAAAGCCAGGGGTCATGTCTGCAAAGGAGGGCATGCTGCGGTTTGCAGGGCTTCATTGCTAGAGTGGAGTTAGTGGGGTTTTGCGTTGCGTGTTCCAGCAGGGGTGAGGGTTTCCCCATGTGTCCTGACAGGGGTTTTCTTCTGTGTCTGCCCTGTCTTCATAAATTCATCACTGCAGCAGGGATGAATGTGGGGGTGTTGAAGCAAACTGGAGTGATTGCTTTGCTGGTTACTTCTGTGTAGCTATGTACAGTGGTTTTTGGCTCGCCACAGCGCCCCTCTTCTGAGCAGTTCCTGGGCTTTGGGCTGCTGGGAATTAACTGGAAAATGGGTGTTGGGTGTGTTTAGGTGTGTTTGCTTGACCGTGCTACTCAGCATTGGAAATGTCGAGTAACGTATTTTGCTATATGGGTGTATACGTTTATGCATGCATGTGTGTGAGTGTGTATGTGTACACGAGCTCCGGAAAATCTTCCGAAGAGCAACACGGACTAGTGGAGAATGGGTTTCTTTTAGGAAAGGGAGCCAAGTGTTAGATACTCTCAAGTCTCCACATGAAGAAGTCATCCATGTGCACTGGGGAGTTTGTTGTGGTTTTGTCACTGAAGCATTCATTCAGCTTTTAACTTTTTAAAGTTGAAAACAAGTCAAGGTTATGTTTGTGCTTAATAATTCAGCAACAGTGCCAGCTCAGCATATTGTCTTTTTCTTCCCTAGTCAGTCTGGTTTATTAAAAAGAAACACTGATGACAGATAGAAGGGTGAAGGAGGCCGTGCCTTTCTGCTTTAACTCCCACCGGGCGCTGACTCCTTCCCCAGGAATCCCCATAGATTTGTGCCATTCACAATACCTTTGCCCCAGCAGTACCATCCCTACCTTGGGCAGGGAAAGCTGGCAGCAAGTTGGGACTTAGATGTCCTCCTCTCTGTGGACCACGTCTTTTTTTCTGAATAGGAGCATTTTCTGTTTCAGTGGAATATTACTCAGAATCCTTCAGTAAGTCTGTCTCAGTGATACTTTATTTTCACTTTGGTTATGAGGTTGTGGGTTTCTTTTTTTGTTTGTTTGGTGGGGTTTTTTTTAATAAAGGTGTAAAAGGTCATTAACTCTTCTAGAACCAAAGAAGCTTGCAGTAAAATAGGTTTTTGTGTTTTCTTAAAAAGTAAAGTTATATTAGGACCTAGTTCTGCCACATGCGAATGTGTACGTTGCTTCATTAACAATGCCGTTCATTTCCAGGGGATCTGCTTTCCAGTGATGGTATTGTCACTGTGAATAAGAATAGATGAACACAATTTTATAGATCTGGGAGAACTGAGAGCACGCAGCGAAGCTCACGTTGTGTAACTCACATCTCCAGTGTCCCTGAGCATAGACCAGCATTGTGCACGATTCCCACATGCAGACTTGGCAAGCAACCTGAAACATCATCTGCTGCTTCTGTGCTGGCTCCTCCACTTTGTCCATGCACCTCCATTTTGTCACGGTGTATCATCTCCTGGTCCTATCCTGGCTCTCTGCAGGCCAGAAGCTACACTGTGGTTTTATGGGAATAAACAGAGGGCTTAAGTCAGATCCACCAAACTGTTTAATATAGGATGAGCCTGAGGATTTGAGATTTGGCCTCCATAGGCAGAATACTTTGCAGTATTTGACATCAGTTCTTCCTGAGAGCTAGATATATTCCTGGAGACAATGGGAATAGGAGTCTCTTTAGGCAGAGGAGGTAAAAATAACATTTACATTCCTGTTACTAAAAATGAGAAGGGGGAGAGCAAGAGAGCAGGAATCTTGGTTGTTGTCAGTACAGTTCAATCAGGGGTAATGACTTACTTTAGAGCATAATATTTTATTTGTGTTGAATACATATTTCTGGAAGAACTTGATTTTTGGGTGTGTGCTTGGGCTGTATCTGAAGTCTGTATCCCATTTTCCCTTCCTGCCACTGAACAAATGAAAAAAGCTGGGGAAGGCATCTTGACACTGTGGTTTCACTCTGATGTTGTATTGCAGGTATGGCCTCGCATGTGCAAGTTTTCTCTCCTCACACCCTTCAGTCAAGTGCCTTCTGTAGCGTGAAGAAACTGAAAGTGGAGCCGAGTTCGAACTGGGATATGACTGGGTACGGCACACACAGCAAAGTCTACAGCCAGAGCAAGAACGTGCAGTCCTCCCAAGCAGCCGCTGCAGCAGCCGTCAACGCCTCCCTCCAGATCCCCAATCCGAGCATCCCTTACGAACAGACCATCATCTTCCCAGCAAGCACGGGGCACATCGTGGTGACATCCGCCAACAGCACTTCTGGTGTGGTTGCAGTGTCTGGGCAAACACTGGGCGGGCCACACAACCTGATGCGTCGCAGCACTGTGAGCCTTCTGGACACCTACCAAAAATGTGGACTTAAGCGCAAGAGTGAGGAGATCGAGAACACAAGCAGCGTGCAGATCATCGAAGAGCATCCACCAATGATTCAGAACAATGCCAGTGGGGCCACTGTAGCCACTGCCACCACCTCCACGGCCACCTCCAAAAACAGTGGCTCCAACAGCGAAGGGGATTACCAGCTGGTGCAACATGAGGTGCTGTGTTCCATGACCAACACGTATGAAGTGTTAGAGTTTCTTGGCCGTGGAACCTTTGGACAAGTAGTCAAATGCTGGAAACGTGGCACTAATGAGATTGTGGCTATCAAGATCCTGAAGAACCATCCTTCCTATGCCCGGCAAGGCCAGATTGAAGTGAGCATCCTGGCTCGGCTGAGCACAGAAAGTGCGGATGACTACAACTTTGTCCGTGCATACGAGTGCTTCCAGCACAAGAATCACACGTGCTTGGTCTTTGAAATGTTGGAGCAGAACCTTTATGATTTCCTAAAGCAAAACAAATTCAGTCCCTTGCCCCTTAAGTACATTCGACCAATTCTCCAGCAGGTAGCAACTGCCCTAATGAAGCTGAAAAGCCTGGGACTGATTCATGCTGATCTCAAACCAGAGAACATCATGTTGGTAGACCCATCCCGACAGCCATATAGGGTCAAGGTCATAGACTTTGGTTCAGCTAGCCATGTGTCTAAAGCTGTGTGTTCTACCTACCTTCAATCCAGATATTACAGGTAAGAGACCGGGCTTATGTAACGTTACTAGGAGAAATATTTTACCTATGGGAATTTTCTTACATTCCTGTAAATGAATGAGAGTCATCCCTTAATCCTAAACTGGGATGGCTCTTAGAATGGCTTGTTGGTGATAGAAAAAATGGTATCCTAACCTCTTACAGTTTACTTGCACTGAAAACCATTGTAAATTTGTAAATAACCATAAAATGTAGTAAAAACAGAGTTTGCCAGTTACAATTTAGAAATCCTTTCACCTCTGTCAGTACTTCATTCTCTCTGGGACTGTTTCTAGAAGAGGGGATGGATCTGGAGAGTCCACATTTCCTTTCCAAGTCAATACAAGTAGGTTCTTGATTTCAGAAAGACCTTAACGTAAACAATCAATCCATATTTCAACTGTGTCTTCCAGTCTTCATTCATACGTGAAACCAGGGACTTTACAAGAATAAGGTTGGCCCACAGGAAAACTGTATGGATGCAGAAGATGCTTTGACAAGGTGTGGTTTTCACACAGGCTGCAGAGCTTGCTAGAGTCAACGGGGGTATTCTGGCTGGCTCCTGTTGGCTCTGCTCCAGGTGAGCAGGCAGCTTGGCCAGGCTGGAAACACCTTTCTCCATGTGGGAAGCTGTTGGTAGGGATGAATCAGTACTGTCAGTAGTTTGGTGTTGGACTGAGGACCTGTCATGGACAGTCGATTCCCACTCACAGTGCTTTTAACTACGGGTATGTTATGTGCTAGGATGGAGTTCTGACCTCTGTGTAGGCGTGCCCAAAGCGAAACGTGTGAACCAGCTATATCCCTCTTCAGTCTGTTAAACAGTTTCAGCAAAGCAGCCTCTTTTCATAACCCCTGGAAGGTCATCCTCTCCCTCTGTCTTGACTCCAAGACACAAAGTCTTTCTGTAGATGTTCTCCTCAGACCCTCTCTTTGGTACCAGTCAGATTGATTCAACATCCCAAGGACCAAGAAAAGCAATTCTACTGCTACCTCAGGGGTGGGGGAAAATAGTGGGGGGAAAAAGAGAATTTGTCTGTAGATGACAGCTGAATTTAGAAATGTTCAGGCCACATTTTTGTTGTAATTCTGTGAAACAGGGCGAAGAGGGAAAATGTGATCCTTCTTGATGACTGATTTAATGAAAATCAGTCCTGGCAGCAGCCACAGCTCATCAGATGGGTTACAGAAAAGCAGAGTAGTTGCTCTGTTTGTAAATAGGAAGGAAATCTGTCTTATACATGGGGAGGACTGTGGACAGAAAAACAACATGAGTTGATAACAGACCCTTTTCCTTCATGAACATCACAGTGGCAAAGTTCACCGGAGCTCTGAGCTTGGGAAGAGTTAATTTTCACAGGAACAGGAACTTTGACAGTGTAGCACCGAAGCAGCTGATTTTTATCTGCTTGTCCTTTGCTCTGAAGGAGGACAGAAAAAAATCCCCAACACTAGTTTATACCTCAGAAGAGGCTTGTTAAATGAAATATTCTACCTGATGACAGTCCCATCCTCCAGGAGAGACATGTTTCTGTGGTAAATATGCAAAAGCTTTTAGGGTTGCAATTACCTGGCAGACTAGAAGAAAAAAAAAAAAAGATAATACAGGCATTTTGTTGTTGAGTTATCTGTGATTCTGCATTAGCAGCCTAGGTCCCTAGCTGAAAGACAGAAGGGGCAGCCAAAGTGAAATATGTGACAGAAAGCAGAAATGAAAGAAAAAAATGGTTCATTCTCAGCGACAAACAAGGAATATTTTTGTGGCAGTCTCTGGGGAGGAGAAGGCTTGATAAAATTTGCTTTTTATATTTTAAATGTTATTCCTGCCAGGTCTGAAGTTGCAGCTTATTAGATAATAAGTTCTATCTGTCTAATTCCTCCCTTGTTTTCTATGCCTGAATTGATGGGAGGAGGGGAAAAGGGGCAGCAGCTCACCGGGGAAAAAAATAAGAAAAAGAAAAAGAAAAATCTTGTTGGGTTGAATTACATCAGCAGGGGGCTGCTGATGAAGCTAAATTCAAGTCATGAGGAAAATTTATATTCTTCTTCATTTTCTGATGGGGAAAAATACAGCACAGAGTAAAGACCCATTCCACTCCAAAGAGAAGGAACTCTCATGCTAGGGGAAACACAGGGCTTTATAAAGATTTCATGTGTCTTCCATTTTATTTACACTTGTTTTGCTTGCTAGAGTATAAAAGACAAGGGAATGACTTCAAGAAATGGCACGTTTAAGCTGAACATGAAGGAAAAACTTCCTCAGAGTAAAACCTCTCAGACTTTAAGCAGGCATGCCAAAGAACTGACAGAAGCCCTGTGCCCCATGCATTTAAGGAAAGACGAGGCAGAGCGCTGGGGATATAATGTAGAGGTCAGCTCTCAGCTGGAGGTTTTTTTATCCTGGGCTTTTGAGAGCAAATTCCCAGGTCGTCCCCATATTTTATTAACATTGTTTTTTCCTTTCCCTCTTTTTTTTTTTTTTTTGTTAACACTACTATCAAGAATGTGATGGCCAAATCCTTTCAAGTGAGGAAAGTTGTGTGGGATCCTGCTCATTCTCAGAGCAATATAAGGCCTTTCCTCTTCCTATAAATGATAGGCCTGTTTTCTTCTCAAGGTGGAAGACGGAATTGTCTTGAAACAAACTCCCTGCTCTTTCTTGGCCCATATATGCATAGTGCAGCATAAGCTAAGACAGTCTCAGGGCTGCTTGCAGACTTTACGGGAGCAATCTGCCGTTGCTGCCATGTAACGTGGCCTGAAGATGAACTGGATCCCTCAGCCCAGTTTCTTGTGAGAGGAACGGACTTGGTATGGCGCTGCTGGCACAGCTCGGGGGCCCTCACTGGGCGCCCCAACATCAGGAACTTTCTGTCCCACCAGGGAAATTTTTCAGGCTAAGACAGTGCTCTCCGGAAGGATCTGGAAGGAGAAAAATCTGGAGGTCCTGACTGTAGAGGGGCCCGAGAGAGGCACGACACGCCAGGCTAAGGTGGGCCTTGCAGGAAGTCCCCCTCGCCACCCAGAGTCCCTTTCTGGGAGGGCAGCGCCGTCACATCCCCGGTGCCTGCCTCAGGCCTGCGCCTCTGGTGAAGGGCACAAGCACTAGCCAGAGCCTGGCGGGGTGCGGGGACAGGGCGTATGCTGGGCCCTGCCACTGGCTCCGCACCGAAATGACAAAGGGCATCGCGGCCATTGTGAGAGCTTAAGGCCCTGAGTCCTTTACTAAAGGGGAATGACCCCAGAGCAGACTGGGAACCAGGGGCAGGGTCCTCTCGCCCACCAGGCCTGCACCAGCGCGTTGTTCATCTGCCCTGGCCCCGATGGCTGCGCAGCTCTGGCGCTGTCGCACTCACATTGCTCCCCCTGCTCCCCACCAGCGGTGGTGGGCTGCGCAGGGGCTTTCCCGCCCTGTCCCGATTTCATTGGCCACTCCTTGCACTGGTGTTCCAGCCAAGCCAGAGATTTTGTCAGTACTGTGGTCAGAGTTGTCATCTAAAAGGGGGAGTGCTGTGAAGAGCTTCCTCCCACCCATCTTCAGCCTGTGGTGCAAAACTCACTGTGGTACAAAGTGTTTCTCATGTAGCATCCATAGCCTGCGCATGTAGGACCTGGCTAGTGGCCATCCAAGCGTTCCCCCTTGTTTGGGACAGTGGTCCCAGCCTGCCCCCCAGTCACCGTAGTCCTTCGTCTTGTCACTTATCACTAGCTGAGTCGGCCTGGGCCTGATCAGTGACCCTTCATGGAGCTATGTGGTGATGCAGCCATGGTCTGGAGGTGCCTGTGTGAGGAAGAAAAGCTGCCGATGGAGGGCTGCTCTGCCCAGCTCGCGGTGCAGGAGTGGGGCTTTGCAGCTGGCAGTTTTAGCCAGACATGCTTAGGCTAGAAATGAAGCCCTGTTCACAGAGCAACCGATCAACAAGTCGCAACAGCCGCTGTGTCACGGGGTATCTTCATGGGATTTTATTTTTTCCTTTTCTTTTTTATGCTGCACTTTGAAGGGGAGGTCATTGAGGTAGGCTTTGTGATCTCCATTTTGCAGGAGGTCAGAGGGATGAATGTCCAGCGAGATCCCTTCTGGGTTGATAATCCATGTATGAACAGCTTCCCAGGAAAACCCGCATCCTGAGAAATGCAGGGCTCAGGCTGCAACAGATGCCCCCTCTGTTAGAGCCCACATTCATGCACCCAGGTGGAAGATGGGGTAGTACCCTTTGGGAGAGGGGGTGGTTGGGGTAGTGGGTAGATCTGTGGTCCTCCCTTGCTGGAACCAGAGTGGTTCCCTAGCGTGGGCTGACAGTGCTAGGACGCTCGGAGCAGGAGAGCTTCTCCTTGGGGCACTACCACCAAGCTATCTTGCCCTCTTGGCTTTTCTTTGCTGCTCAGCTGAAATAGCTGCTGTGTTGCACCCCAGGGATGAGTGCGTTTCACTAATTAATGGCATAATCACCTTACAAGATTTAAGTCTTTCAGAATTTGCAGAATATTGCAGATATAAAATAATGTCTGTCACCCCTGCATATTAAGGGATAAATGTCGTTTTGGTGCCTTGTTTTCAAAAGGCTTTGGTATGTGGCGTGTCTGGCCATGGTTTGATGTCTGCTTGTTGGTAAGCGGCCTTTGATGAAATGTTTGGATAACAGAGAATGAAGCTGAGTATCAGTTTGAAGAGGTGTTTATCAGTCTAGTTTCAGACACTGCAGGAATATAGGCAGGCATAAAGGCCTACGTGCATGTTGTCAGCTGCCCATACGGCGTATATAGTGAGGCCGTGTGCAGGTGTGTTTTTTAACTGGCTGTACATGCTTAGCTGGGTGAGTGTGGGTCCTGAGGGATGCAGGGGACTAAACTGGATCCGTCTAGTCACATGTGGACATCGTGCCATGACAGGTATCGGTCCTCTAGCCATGCTGACAGGGAGCCAAAGCAAGGTAGATTACCGGGCAGTGTCACGACCTCTTCCCCATTGTGTGACTCAGAGCACGCGTCATTCTGGCCAAA